CCAAGTTGAAATGTAGGGTATATTACAATTTGGGGTCAATTTTTTTGGCTTTTTTGACCACTAGACATTTTTGAGTGTATAACATATACCAGACCTTCAAATACAGCTTTATTTCTCTGTAAGTTGTAAGAACCCCTGATTCAATGAATATGCTAATTCAAAATGTTGAGTCAGTAGTTATGTTTTAATTATTATTTGATGTTTGTTCTCAGATCTAAGTAATAGTTTTTTTCAACTCTGAAATACTTTATTAAGTATAATAATTATCACTAGTCTGATTATTCTTCAGTAATTCCCATAATTTATACCCTCTATTTATAATTACTGCTAGATAATTTTATTTACTGTTGACATGGTGAGGCTTCCACTAAAAGCTCCTTGAAGTAAGATTTGAATATTTTTCATTTGCAGATTTACTGGCAATAAAGAATAATAATTAGCAGTTGCTTATTTAATCTGTTAGTGTTTAAGCTTTCACATTAATTTTACACTTATGATTAAAATTGATATAGCTTCAGCTTTTGAAGACTAACATTGCATTGTTTTACTGGTAAACTCTCATATACCGATGACTGATTCCTTTTTATATATGCTAGCAAAATGATGGTTCATTGTTAAAGCTAGAACTGAATTAGTCAGCCATAAGTGAACCTCTAATTGTTTCCAAATGCTTATTTTTTGGGTTTGGATGCAGCTTTAAGTCTTAGCTCAGTCAGGAATTTGCTAAGCTAGTCTTTTCCCCCATATCCTTTCATTATGGCTAGATCGATCCATGGTGAAATCTGTTTTATGATTCTGCTTCACAATAGTTAATCAGAAAAATGTGTACACAGAATTCTGAACTAAACACAGTCTTAAACAGAAAAAAGAGAGTTTCTGAGGGCTTCTTTTACATTTTTATAACCTGTGAAATTATTATGGAAATTAACCATGGTTCTAAGTTGAATATTATCATGTGATTTAGCAAGTACTTTCTTCTTCTCCACCCTGCTCCCAAATTTCATGACCTAGCTAGCTCCTACAGCTGAACATTATTTTAAAATGACCGCTAGAAAATTACTGGGTTTTTTGTGTTATTGCTTTTTTTGTTTTAATGTGATGTGAAGCATGGATTCATGGATGTGATGCATCCATGTGCTTTGGTAAAATACTTCTTTTATATGTGAACATTTTAATTCTACATAAGCGAGATTTCAGATTTTATAGCGAAATCAGCAAAAACTTCAGTTGGCCCTTACTAAAAATAAGTTATTTCCTCATGTCAGTTGAAATATCCTTTATTTGCTTTAAAATAAATGTTTGCGCTAACATTAATTAAAATGCTTATCTGCATTATGGTTTTGAATTGAACTTTAAAATAAATTCCCTGTTAATTCTATTAATTTGTCATCTGTCAAAATGGAATATCTTCATCAAGTCTAGACTTCTCAAACTAATACCACTTGAGAAAGTGAATTTTAGAAGACTTGGGAAAGTACAAATTTGTCTTTTTCCACTAATTAGTGTAAATAGACTGTTTCATAGCTAGGAATTTCTTTGAAGCAAGGTATTGTGTATTATTTATCTTTTTATTTCCACTCCTAGTTCATGTTTGGCACATTGTTGTCATATAATAACTATTTTGACTTGAGCTTTTTTTTAGAATTTTGGGTTAAGTTTTGGCCTTTCTATTTGAGTTCTCCCACCCATTAGCTGTGTTTTTGTGCTCCAGGCCTCCATTTCCACAACTCTAGAGTAAATTTCCATCTAAAAAAATGTGATGCCTAGTAAGCATACAGTAGTGCTTAATAATTGCTTATTTGTATTAATTACTTGATAAAATTAATTTTAATTAATGGTAGATAATCAATTTGTCACTGTCTCATCTAGTGGGTGATGCTTTTTATAATTATAAATTAAATTAATTAGAATAAACAAGTTTATTCTCTTCCCAGTATTCCTTATAATTTGACCATTTTGCTTTTCTTATTGACTGAAAAATAAGGCTGGGAAAAGCCTTTTAGATATTTAATCTACTTTCTCATTTTATAGATGAATTAACTGATGCTCCAGAACTATTTAATGGGAGAATTAGATTCCAAGTATTAAGATTTCCATATGAGTGCATTTTCCATCTCAGATATATGCAGGGGTTATTAGCAATTGCTTGGGTTAATAATTAGAGGAAGAATGGTCAAAATAACTTTACATAGGAAGCATACAGGGAAAAATTACCTTTTTCTTATTCTCAAACAGTTCATCTGGGAAAACTTATTTGTATCACTTCCTGAGAAATACAGTGAAGAAAGCAGGAAAACATAAAAATTATTAGTTTGGTATACAAAATATTCTATGACCTGTTCTATTTGGTGAGAAAGGAGGAAGGCAAGAGCATAATGGGTGAACTATACTTTATTAGTCTACCTTGATATTTTTCTCTAACTTTTTTTTAACATCACAGTAGATAGACATGTTCCTCAAATTAGATGAGAAATAGCCAATATCCTTTCATTTTCAGAAATGCTTAACCCCACCTCCAGTTGCTGTTTTTCCCTTCTGACCTTACCATACATATCTCATTTTTATAAGAGCACAGAGAGGACATTTCATACGTTTTGGCAGATATTTTAGGATCAGAAAAAGACCTAAAAGGAGTGACATTTGAGACTTCAGAGGAAAAGAAGTAGATTAAAGGGCATGTTAGGAACATTTAGGCAGAGATTACAGCATGATCAAAGCGTGACAGGAAGGTATAGCAGAAGATAAAGTATATGTATGTTTATGTTTACAAAGCTTAAAATGTGAAATAAGGATAAATAGGAGGTGAAACCAGACGGGCCTGAGTTCAAAAAATATGCTCTGTCAGCGAACTTACACTTAGTCTCATAGAACTTTTAACAAACTTTTTTTTTTTAACAGAAGCAATAGGGTAAGTACAGGTTTTAGATAGTTTAATAGCTTTACCAAAGAAAGGTTGTGTTAGTTTTCTGTAGATGCATAATAATTTACACAAGAACCTAGTAGCTAAAAATCATATTATCATCTTACTGTGTATCTTGGTTCAGGAACTGAACTTGAGCATATCTAACTGGACTTTGTAACTCAAGGTAGAGACTTCAGGGAAATGATGAAGGTGTCAGCCATCCCCAGGTTCATTTGAGGAGAATATACTGCTAAGCTCACTGAATCACTTGTAGATAAATTTTGATCCCTCTGAAGCTGGCTGTTGGACTGAGAGCTCAATTCCATTCCAGAGGTATCCCCCAATTCCTTGCCACATGGGCCTCTCCATAGGTTAACTCACAGCATGGCTGCTGTGAGTGAGCGAGCGGGAAAAGAGGGTAAACAAGATGACAGCCAGGGTCCTTTTAACCTACTCTAAGGAGTGACATCTTACACTTCTGTCTTCCTATGTTAGAAGCAAGTTACTAGGTCCAGCCCACACTTGAGGAAGGGATTACAGAAGAGCATGGATGCTAGGAAGGCAGTGTTTATTGAGAACTTTCTTTAAAACTGCTTTTCATAGTGGACATGAGGAGCAAAAAGACACTTAGGATTCTGTTATTAGGATCCAAGTAAAGATTACTGTTGACTTGTGCAGTGGAATGAAGAAGAGGGGATGGAACCAAGAAATTATTTATGATTTGGAGAGAAGTGTTTGAAGGGAGAAAAAGGAATGGGGTAGCATCTAATTATTCTTGGCTTTTCACTAAGTAACTAAAACTTATTTTCATTTGAATATGACCTTAAACTCTATTTACATTGAGCTTTTCATCCTCTTTATTGCCATCTCCTTTATACTTTCAGGCATCTGGACTTGTCCTTTATGTTACTTCACTTTTTCTAGTTAGATGCTCGTTACTCTCTCTCTTGGTTTAATTTTCCTAGTTGTCTCTTTTTTTATTATTATCCTCCTTGTCCAAGTGCCTGTCATTGTGCACTTCAGCTATGGGAACACTCTCCTAATTCCCCCCCCCCCCCCGTGACTTTTTCCTGTTTTTAATCCAGATTGTAAAACATCTAATTTTCAGCTATCTATCATTCATTTAACCAAAAAGTGTTTATTGTGGACCTCCTTTGTGACCAACACTTACAGGCCTCCTTGGGACAATAAAAGCAATGACTTAAGCTTACAAGTGTAGTGAAACTGTTTCTTACCTCCCTTCTCTCTACTTGAGCACTAGAGCAACACCTTATCACCCTGAGTCACTGGAACTACCTACAAAGTTTTTCCAAAAGCTAGGTGCCTGAACCTTCCTTCAAAGATTCTGATTCACTATGTCAAAAATGAAAACAAAACCTTGAGGTGAATTTGATGTGAATTTGAATTTAATTTAGAAAACTACTGCAGTAGCGTCAACCTCATTATTATATTAATGTTTTGTATATATTTAATTATCCAAGTCATCTAAAGTATAATTTCCAAATGCTGATAGAAGGCTTTCCACATTAATATATACATACTTTTGTGCCTTATCCATAGGGCTTCTAGTTCATTAATCTGTGCTTATATCCCAGTTTTTTTTTTTAATGAGATAAGATTGATACATAATCAGGTTGGAAAAATCTTAAATGAGTGGACTAAAAGATCACATTTATTATTTGTATTTTCCTTGATATCATAAGTCATATAAATGCGTGTACATATTTGTAAATGTTAAGGTCTAGTTTGCCATGATATTATTTATAGATTGCTTTAGAAATTTCTGGTTATATTTGAAGGCATATTTTAAATAAGTTGAATGACTGCTCCATTTAGATTTTTTTTGGTGCTCCAGTATTATTTAGTATTATAACAAGTTTAGTGTTTTCATACATTGATATTTTATTAGATAATATATACTAAATACTAGATAGTAACTTCTTGGTCCCATGAAAAATTTGGTATAATAACTAGATTCTTTTTCCTGTGTCTAATTAATCATATTATGTTCTACTAGAAAAAAGATATACTATTATTTTTTTCCAGATGAGGTTGTCAGAATGTACTTTAATAAATTTGTTTTCTTTCTATCCTTTAGTGTTATTCCTCTTTTAAGAGAGTCTGTTGGAATATTAATGCAAAGAACTCCTCCCCTGTTGGAAAATAATCTACCTCAGTGCTATCAGAGGGTAAGTTTTAATCTTCCAAACCATTGGGTTTTATATTGTTTCCAACTATAGGGTTTTTAACTTCTGCAAATATGGGTAGCATATGTGTATAATTCAGTATTTTTTCCAAGGTTGAATGCTGACCACGACTGCCATTTATACAAACCAGAATATAATCATTGGAAAATACTAAAGTATGCTAAAGAAAATGTGGTAGAAATCGACCTTGTCTAGAAATTGCGCTTTCTTTTGAAATACAGATCTGGATAGCAGATGATACAGGCATGTTACTCAACATTTATTACTTAGTTTCCACTTTGTGCCAGTTATTTATCTTAGGCACTAGGGATATAATGGAAAACAAGGCAAACCCTGACTTTGTTCTCAAAGGGCTTATTGTTTACTGGGGAAACACAGGCACTAGTTAAATGTCAATAAGTAAGAAAAATCAGTGATAATTGCTGTAATAGAAAAAAGATAACATGGTAGCCATAGTTGGTTGCATTAGGTTCATGGAAGAAGACGTCATATTCAGAGAACTTGAGACCTTGATAAGAAGGAGCCAACCATATAAAACTTAAGAAGAGTATTCCAGGCAAAGAAAAATATTGATGCAGTAGTTTAATGGTTGGAAATAATTTAGTGTGTTCGAAAAAAAGGAAAAAACCCATTATAACTGAAGCATAATAAATAAAAGGAAGAGTAGCTGGAAAGGTTAGAGAATGTCAGGAGTCAGATCATATAAAGATTTTCGTGCTTCTTAGAGGATTATATCTGATTCTAATTCAGTAAGAGCCATTAGAAGGCTACTAGGCAGGAAGCATGTCATAAAGCTTGTTTGTAAGAGATTATCCCTCTTGCTATTAAAGCATAATACTTTCAATTTGACGAAGAATGAAAGCAAAGCAAAGCAGCTATGAAGCTATTGTCCTCTTAAGTAGTATGTGGGAGGGAAAATAATTTTTCATTTACTCTTCTGGGTTCTTGGCCGAGATATCCCTATAATAAAAGACAGATTAACAGAAGAAAAACAAAAGTTTAGTGTACTGCCTGTTTACTTTGGAGAGACCCAGAAAAGCTGGGTAACTTGCAGAAATGGCTTAATCCACCACCTATTTCAGACAAAGTATGTTGGGGTAGGGGCAGGAGCTAATGGAGTGAGAGGAAAGGTTAGTTATGGAAGGTCACCAGAAGTCACAGCAAGCAAAGACATAATTGCTGTGTAGATTTATTTTGCCATCATCTCCAATAAGAGACAGAGTTAATCATCCCTTTCTTCAGTGTATAGTGGAGGAGATACTTCCAAAATGGAGCTTTGCCTTGATACATGCAAGTTATCTCTTTTAAAAGGGTACTCAGATTTTCAGAGCTTTTTCTTTCCTGCTGTTTCTTGAAAATAACAAGTCTGAAAAATAATTCTTATGCAAAAGAAAAACATTTTGGGGTGGAAAATTTTGCTCCGACAGAAAGGGAAAATTGTGGCTTGAACCACAATGGTAGCAGTGAGATGGAGCTAATTAGATATGTGGAATATATTTTTGAGCTAGATTACATTAGCAAAGGGGAGAGAAAGTGTTGAATGCTAAGTAGATAGATGCTAATAGATGCTATTGAGAGTGAGGCTGCTTGGTAGAGATTTGAGAATGAAAAATCTCAAATTGAAATTGAAATGTCTGTTATTACTCTCGAGGAATTGTCATTTTAGTAGTTGTATTAACACTCAAACCTGTTACCCAAACTGTTAAGGGGTGCATACTCTAAATAGGCGTCCAGCTATCCATGAACAAAGGCAAAGAAAGTAAACTTAGTGTGAAAAAAATTTATTAGAATTTTACATAGAAAGAGAGAAAGGATATAAAATAAAACTCCAATAAAACTCCAAAAATTATTCATTCCCTTGGGGCAAATTCCCAACCCAAGAGCTTTGCCTGAATTAACACCACTGAGGCCTGAAAGCTTGCTACAAATCTAAGGTACTTCTGCAAGGAACCACAGAAAAGAGGCAGGTCCCAGAGAATTGGCACAGGAGAGACTGAAAATACATCACATAGCCCAACATGAGGTCAAGATAACTCTTGCATTGTTCTGCCAAAGACCAGGAGCAGTCTCCTTCTGAGTCTTTCACCAACGTGTGTCTTTTCCAAGTCTCTCTTCCAGGTGTCTCTATGGCTTTCCTCCATGAGTCTCTTCCAAGTGGCTCTTCCTGCCTCCTTCATTCTATTTCTGTTTACATATCTCCTTGCTCCTTCCTAGTTACCCACCCCTCTACTGAGGAAGTCCAGTTCATGGCTTGCTAGGACTTGTAGTCCAAGCTGATCGCCATACAGATGATGAGAACTATTTGGCTTCTACTTGGTTGTAGTATTTTGTATGTTCCTAAATTGATAGTCTATAATATTCGTTGGACTCTCTATTAAGGTTTTAAGAACTTGTTATTTGTAGTTCTCCTTCTTCATATTACATTTTGCTTGGCTGTATATATATATATATTTTTTTTATGCCTTTTTTTATTTTTTTT